AATAACTCATTTTACAGTAATGAGAATCTGGCTTTTCTTCAAATGGAAATCTTGCTCTGCAGGCGTATTATGACTAATCAAATATGATTTTGAAAATTAAGAACCTGTTTTCTATTTTAGGCTAAATAAAATGAAAAAAATGACATATTTAAGAAGAATCTAAAAAAAAGTTCAAAATAAATGCTAATTCTGGTATAGACCTACTTGTTTCAAACTTTTGGAAACCCCTTCGCTGCCAATGCACTTTGTACACAGTGTGCCACACTAAAATATGTCAAATTGAGTGATTTTCGGAAATATTTTTTTTAGCTACAGTCACTCTCTCTAACATAATCAATGTATATATTTTTGTGAAGCTAAGAAATCTGTCTTTCTAATGAACATGGGATGAAGTGTGTTTTTGTAATTCTATATTATTATGACGTTCTAATCGTGGGAAAATTTTACAGGGTCGCATTTAGAAAAAAACTTATTTCCTCTCCATAATCATTCCATAGTTGATCCATTACTTATTGAGCAGTAAAGTGAGCCATTATTTACTAAATCGTTTGAAATTACTAAGTTTTAGCTCGTAAAAAAGTCACATTTCCGCCTAACAAATCGAAGACGACAAGATGGCGGCCATCTTGGAATGAAAATGCATTTAATGAATTCCTGATTTATTCATACACGCTCCAAAAGCTCACGCACGTAATTCACATACTAGTGTCCAGTCTCTCAAGAAACACAGTTGATTTCGATATGCCGGAATCAAGTGCCAACGATGTGCCGAAGATTTTACTAAAACACTGCAAATTTGGACGTACTGAGTACGGCATATAGGCACGTGGTATACAGTTTTTATGACGTACTCAGTACGTCATATAAAAGGGGTTAAACGATTTACACCTACTTGCGAAAACGTTGTCATAGAAAATAGGACATTGTATTAGGTAAAAAGGAATAAATTATAAAAGACAAAAGAAGATCACTGCCAGGCTGAACAATCTCTTTTGTCTTGTTTTAATTTATTCTTTTTTTTAMKAAATTCAAATGTTTTATTTTCTATGAAAACGTTTCTGCAAGTAGGTGTATATAACCTACTTTTCAAAAAGTTTGTTGACATCAGTTTTGAAAAATATATTCAAGATTCCCAATCGTAGCCCATGTATACGGAATGCACACCAAATTTACTACGAAACTACAGAATAACAATAACTGACACTTACAAAACTAACACAGTCCTACAAATTCGATCAATACCGATCGCGCTAAATGTCAAAATATTAGATCTACGCGCGTATAACAACGATTTTTATAAACATTTTTTTACTGATTTTAAAAGATGTAATAAGATAGAAGACAAAAAAGGCCTGATTAAAATTAGTACGTAACTAAGCCAGAGACGTTAAAGTCTACCATGTTTTAATGCAATAGATTTGGTCTTCATATAATATTCTGAAATTCACTTCAATTGCGATAAAAACACACAGAAATACGACACATTTGTGCAGCCCTAAGATTTTGTTTGGATAGAAAAAATGAAGACATGACAGCCAGTACTAATTACTTCTCAATCTCTCTATTGCTGTCTTTTATTGAACGGAATTCTGTGTCATTTCCATTCAAACTCAGGCGCGCAGGTCTTAAACTGAGGCGCGGGATGCAAAGAATCCGAACAGTTGAGTATTGTCTCACACATTTGTTGCGAATCTCGCCATTACTTTGACACTTGATCWACTTATCGAATTAACAAACCACGTGATTGAACAGTGCTGGGTGGTTTGTACCTAGAATGACTACTATGCTGTTTTTGTGATGTACCGATAGTAAGACAGACAAGTCTATGATTCTGAACGGCCTATGGAATTTCTTAATCGTGATAAACAGTGAAGAACTCACTACCAATAGAATTATCAAAAAGTAAAGTTTTTGAYAGCAAATATTTGACAATGTCATTTACTTACATATGTTTAAGTAGATATGTAGAAATTGGGCTCATTTTTAARATAGCAATTTGTGATACCAGCTGCAGTAGGATGTTGCAACACATTGCTAGATATCCACATGACATAAACATCATGATACGAATATTTAAAGTAATGAAAGAGGAGGATAACTACAAGCTGTTGTTAAATATGAAAATTGTTATACAGAGGAATTAAGAGGTGTTTGAAATACTGTGCTGATTTGTATTGATACTTCATTTCACGGCTCTTCAAACATTCAGGATGCAGTTGACCTTTTGTACTTCTCAAAATTGAACGATCATAACTGGTGGTTGCTATTTGCGGAGAACTTACTGAGAGAAGAGTTGAATGTAAGACACTTACACATCTATATAGGTATAGGAATCATCGATTTTATCGGTTTTCAGGGAATTTCCAGAAAGAAGATGAATGAATCTAACGTAACAAACAACTCTCAGCCTTACTGCAAGTACACRTACSCWGACGGTGATYTCGAGAGATCTGTGAAAATAGCTTCATTCTTCATACTTTGTCCTTTTGGGATCATGGCCAACATCTTTGTCATCGTATTGGCTTTGAAATACACAGTGCGCAAGAACCTGCACCATCTGATCATYAACATGGCTGTTGCAGATTCTCTYTTTCTTTGTTGGAGAATGRTRWCACTTGTTCARTGGATGTCTAACTAYAAACTTAGTGTATTTCCGATTGGTTCTTTTGGTGTCATTCTTTGTAAAATTACTACAACTTTATATTTTGTGTCATACAATGTYTCTCTAGTAACTCTGTTAGTCATCAGCATTGAGAGATTAAAGGCAACAAGACAAACTTTACAAAGGTCKCAACCATACACGATAAAGCAACGAGTGKCAGTAGTCGTAGCTTGCTGGCTGATTCCTATAATTGTCAATTCRCCAGTGTATTATTATGAACGGGTCAACTCTAAGAATCAGTGTACAAGTCATGACAAGCTTGYARAAACGATGCACCTTGCTGTTATTTCAATTTTTGTAGCAATTCTGATCGTGTTAGTATTTGTCCTGAGTATAGTAATAATACGAAGATTATCGAATTTGCCAGCCATACCACAAGAAGGATTCAACATACATATAAACAATACACGAATGAGAAAGATACGTTCAGCTGCGAGRATGATCCTGGCTTCATTATTACTGTACGTATGTTGCTGGTTGCCTCATGACATTTTATGGGTTTTGAGCTTTGTAGATAACATTGGAACAGCTGTGCGTTTCATCGATTATTCGCGTTGTATTGATTGGAGATCATTGCGGTTTGTCTTAGCAGTGTTCCTTCCATCGGTGAATTCGGCCCTCAGTCCATGTTTGTGCATCGTGTTTTTGGCAGATTTTAAGGAAGCTGCAAAGACAGTACTCTGCCAAACTTCTGTTAGTCGATGCGAACAGAGGAAAACATCGATGCGAATTGTCACAAGAATTCAGCCTCACAGAAGAAGAAATTCAAGAATAAATAAACGGACAAACGAATCAACAAGTTGAGAAACATTTCGTGAACTATGGATTTAAATCTCCTTTAGACAAATTAATAAACCACCAATCCGACATATTATTTGTGAAAGGTGTGAGATCTATAGGTTTACATGGGGTGCGAAAGTATTACAGGGTATCAGCAGTGATGCACTGGAAAAGATATTTAAAATCGTTTTGTTGCTAGCTAATCTTATACTTATGAAGTTATGTAACAGCAAAAAGGAGGTTTAATTCAACAAGAGTCGGAACCTTCAGGCAGTCGTCCATCGTCAGGGTGATCTGAATGAGCAAACATTACAATGTATAAACTCGAAATAAGATTTGCAGCTCAATAGAGTAAACTGAGAACATATATACTATATATGTATATGATATATACAATTACTGTACAAGATAAACAGGTCATTATGATACACCTACCTTTCTTCTTCGTTTTMAATCACGTGATAATTCAGGCAAAATGAAGTAAAGTAGATACGTGACGGCCTTCGCGTGATCGACGCAATTCAAACTTAAATATCGCAAAAACTAAAAAAAGCTTTTTTAACCTAAATCTTGGCGATGTCTTTCTATGATATTTAGCTGTCATATATATAACTGGGATTTCKAGTTCGATTTGAATCTCATACACTTTTGTTGATTAAACCTAATTTACCTAATTTACCCTGAAACACATTTATCATTATGGAATATGTTATCTAAAAACGATACGTCCGAAACGTCAGTAAGTTATGTGTTAAATTTATCTTTTTACACAAATGTTTCTTTAGAAAAACCGACGCAGCATACACTAGTTTACCGCTAGTTTCCACTATGGAATATAGCAACTAAGTCAGATACCGTAGATGAACATCAATTGAATGACCAACAAAGCTATCCAATTATTTTTAGTCAATATATTTTACCATCCACAGGTTGCTCGTACCGCCTGGTTCCTAATAGTTACCAAAACAGCGAACCACGCGGCTCAAAACCATGTGCTTTTGAAAAGCTGCGCCTTCACGCTTTGGATCCTAGGATCAGCGGTAGCCAGCTGATTGATATATGTGGTATATTTACGTGGAGCGTGTCCTCCTGTGAAGTTATGTCTGGCGCATATTATGATTATGGTACTTGGAAGGACATTTGGCATGCGGGCTCAAATCAAACGACATTTTCAGTGGTGAAGAAACTTGGTGTAGCGATATACTTAAAGGTATTTTATAATATCTAAAAATATTTTATCCTCGAAAACATCGCCTTGAGGCCTTTTATGATTAGAAATGACGAAGTGTATGTTTTAATCTTACACCAAGCATTCAAACAGTAATTTAAACCTACTGAATGCTAATAAATTGTCGATGGACATCTTGAGTTTTCTTGATAAGATCGCGTGAAATCTCTATAAGTTCACCTTTTTCAAGTTATAATGTTTTAATTATTGTTACTAATCACTATGCCTTGATTTCTTAAACAGTGGAATAACTCAATACCAAGTCGTTACAATGGTTATATCATATCTCTTGATGTTCGATGCAAGAGAAAGTTTAACAGATCAAACATCGAATCTTGTCTGGTTTTCAAGGTTGAGAGAACGAAAACTACTGAAGAAACAGGTAAGGTTAAAAAAACAACAACGGAATGTTACAAACATGTCAACGAAACAAGTTTGCGCCAAATCGTTTTGATTTATCTCTTCTCRTACTCATTAATTATTCATGAGGTATTCAGCCAATCCCTGATTGTACGTAATTTGTACCACGTGCAGTAACTGGATACCAGAGGACTGGAACTAACTGCGCGGACTTGAAATCCCGCCCAGTCCTCATTGCCGGACTTTAAACATTACTTCTCAAGCATGTTGCATCTCAGGACTGACTTTTTTGTATTTTATCGTTTTAATAATGTCCCTGAACAAGAAATCAGTAATTTTTCAAACAGAAATATCATGTATGATGGACCCAAATTGGTCTGTGTATCAAGAGTAGAACAATAATTTGACAGTACATGTCTGAGTATAACATTAAAAATGTTATAAAATTACTCCAAATTATTGTTCTATTCTTCAAACAGAAATGTAGTTCCTATAGCGATGCGTTCCCTTCAGCTATTCTTGTGAGGAATAAGATGTTTAATTTACTCGATGGCTTTCTTGATCGAAGAGTTTCGAAATCTGCGCATTTATAAAGATTCGGTTCCAATAACGTTCGCAGAAGGTATCGCTGTTTTTTGTTTTGTTTATAGATCTAAGGACAAGTACATCTCCACCTASAAATTACACAGGAAATCCTATGAGTGACAAAACGCAGGCTTTCGAATTGAAGAAAGGTCAGCGGTCGAGTAATGCTACCACAATGATAGTCATTGGAGTTGTCAGCGGTTTATTTGCGCTTATGTTGTTGTTYATGATAGTGTGGTGTCTTAAAAAGCGTCGTACTTTATTTAAACAATGGTAAGTGTTCCTCTTCCCATCTTTTCTATTTTTTTCATACTATCTTATTTGCTKCAAAAGAGCTCTTCACAACAACGGAAAATTACTGTCTCAGAAATTGCATCCGATTCTCTTCTTTTAAATCTCTGGAGTACATAGAGTACATCAATCCAGTCCTTGACTTTTTGTGTTCCTCGTTTAGACTCATCGCTTGCAGAAGGTTTCAGAAAAAAACAGCACATGCACCTCATAGGCCTCAATGAGATGTCTCTTTTAGTGACTGTYTTTGCCTTCAGGAGTCTTTGTTGGGTCTTTACCCCTTTTAGTGTACCTTTATCCGCTTTGACCCTTTTCTGCTGTCTCTCGACCGTCGTTCTCCGATTCGTTTCTGTTGTCTTATATTCATTCATTTATTCGTTGTTGTTGTTTTTTAGTATAAATGGAAAGCACAAGAAAAGAAGCCAGGGTAGGTGAATGATAATATTTGCGATCGGCTCGTTCCTAGGTTTTCTCGGCCATTCTAGATCAGTTCACTATAGCAATACTGTATTATACTGCAACAGAAAAAGAGCAGTCATTTCATCAAATCATCGCGCTAYAAGTCCGGCAAAGTCGACCTTGATGTTTTTCTACTGATATTTTCCTACAGAGTCGACGGTCGCCAGGAATTCCAGTCCTATGTATGATATGAACGAATATCAATCCGTCAATCAGAATGAGACACCAATATACACGACGCCTGCTAAGACTAACGGCTATCAGGATCTAGTGTTTACAAAAAATACTTATCAGTCTCTAGTTCACAATGTAAGTACCACGTGACAAGTGACGTAGGATAACACTAACCAATAAGAGAAGGCTATTTTTTCCTTTTTGTTTGCATAATTTACGAATGTGAGCTGTTGGTTCACTTTCCTACGAGAGTTTTCTCTCGATTGCGCAGGTTTCCTTTCCTTACTAAAATGCAAACCGAAGGGTGTGCTGCATACAACAAAAACATTAAAAAAGGTATTAAGGCCGCTGTCGGCCATGAGGTTCCTGTAGACAGCACTTTGTATTCTCGAATGTTAGTAAATAATGATACAAAATCAACAACCACATAACACAATATAGTCATCTAAAAAGACATTGTCAGAGAGAAGAGCGCATGCACGACACGACCGAAAGCGATTTAGTGTGAGTATGTAGTATAGATGACACTGAATATTCATTTATAAGACCTCGATACTCCCAATCAGATTATTAGCCAATCAGAGCCATCTATTTTTTTTAGACATCAGGTGACGTTCCACCTCCMAGTCCAATATATCATTTGGTGAAGGAGCCTGGAGATACCAGCAATGATGTCACTGACCATGAATATCAGGTCTTGGAAGGACCATCATAGTTCTAACCGTTCTCTTGTTTACGGATAGAGAAAACCTTTTCTATAGAGATGCCGTTAGGTGAACTCAAAAATACCTCAASATTAATTGACCTGCGAACAGTGACTATTCATGAATTTGTACAACGAGGCCGRACTATGAAACGCTTTGTGTAATAGTTTTTTATATCATATGAAKATCTTGTAAAATACAAATATATATCCAAACACGAAAGGCGCAAGTCAAAGTTTCTTTTTGACAAGGTATTCAGTTATACTSTTGAGATCGTGTTTTGTCACTATAACATTGTTTAAACTACCTGATAGAGAACGTACATAAACCATTTGAAAGTGACTACCAYATACAGATCTGCACCGTAAAATTTCACGCTCAGATAAAAACACAACTTTCAAATGTAATGATTTTACATTTTTTATTTTGAGCGAAAAAAACTGTTAATCGCATGCAAGCAATATAATTTTTGGAGTTCTTTGAAATTTAATATTTTTATGGAATATTTTACATTGCCTAGTATAATGAACTGTAATAAGCATGTTAGCATGCAGTGCTATTTATTTACAGCTGATAACAAAAGTATATGTCTAGTTGACTGCGTCCTTAAGAACTGCCATGGACCACATCTCGGGAACCTGTAGGCCAGGGTTAGGACCCATTTCGGGAACCTGTAATCTCAACTCAGAAACCTGTAGGCCAGGGTTAGGACCCCATTTCGGGAGCCTGTAACCTCAACTCAGAAACCTGTTCGCCAGTGTTAGGTCCTTATAACAGAAACCCATCAGCAGCTGTCATTGGGGGAATATTGCGTATACAACAGTCGCTGAGCTTCCACTGATATCGACGACTAGTCCTGTCAGTTGTTTCTCCTTTCAAAAGGTAAAGATGACATATCTTAAAGTATCTCTGATTCTAGTCGAGTCTTATTCCCTCCGATCAGCTCCAGGTACTAGAGAACAAAATTATGGGCAAAAATTACAATGGTGAATACAGTAGTGATGTTTTGATAACCGAACTGATTGAGTTCAGTGGGTGCAAAATATAGACCTTCATGGTATACATGGTGACATCATGATAATATGGTGCTGTGTGATAACTATGACATAACTATGCTTTCTGTGATCAGGAAGCGGATGACGACATACAACGCAATGGTTGCCATAGTGATGATATGACAACTGATAAATGGCAGTCACTTAAGCAGTCACTTATAAATAGTTGCCTCTTATATAAATTTAATGTAAACCTGGTCTTTGGTGACTGCTTTAGCACAGGCAAGTGTAATAATCATGGTGATGATGGTAAACAAGTGTAGAGTAACTGAGTAACGAACTTACGGTATTTTCTGTGGGACTTTTACCAAAGCGATTTTCAGCAACTGCTTCATTATCTTGTTSATCTGATTTCACTTCGCTGTTTTCTTCTAATTCATGATAAARAGGTTTTGGCTTTCCATCAGCACTGCTCAAGTCAACGGTTAATTTGGGCTTCCTGTCTTTAAGAACAACTTCCGGTTCATCGTAACTGGAACTTAGTCTTGGCCGCGTAGTGTTGTCTGGGATGGGTGGCAGAGCTTCAGTACTAGTAGGAAAGGGGACTGGTCCAGCTGAAAATTAACGAAACATGGATTAAACGTGATTCGACGTGACAGTAAAACTGATATGTCCCATGAATTATGTGCAAGGGYMGAGGRATGTCTCAAATCACGTAATTTGTATCAATATATGTCGACGTCACTTATTATCAACATTTAATAATAGYCGATTTGCATTATGGCGTCATTTACTACAACTAACAGAATGCTTTGCCAACTTTCCTTTGTAATGCAATTMGTGCCAATTGTTTTATTAATMTCCAACGGGATTAAAAATCTGAATAACAATGAAAATGCGCTAGGCTCTCTCTCCTATTGACAACGCTTGCACTTCTAGTCAATACAAAGCATTATGTACAAAGTAAATAATACTAAGAASAATAAGACATTAATTATATAAATGAATAAATCGATGAAATAAAAATACAATGTCTAAACTTCAATGAAWTTTTTTGACAAAAATGTGACAAAAGCGGAAAATGTCTTACTATTGAAGACGGTACAGAGTTCCAAAATGATTATTCTGTACAAGTTCGAATATTATTATGTGGAGGGTCTATTAAACCTCCTTGTATTGAGAAAAAAACATGAATATTCATATAAATGTTTATGCATCCCATACTCACTTGCTGGTACCAGGTATCCATCAGATGTAACGTCACAATAGGCAAGACTGCATCGGTTTGGATTCTGTAAAAGAAATACATTTGTTCATATTATTCATTATTCTAGCTCGAAATACTGATAGCAAAAAAAGTACCTTAGAAAAGGCAAACAGTGTGGCATTAAACTAGCATAAAAACAAGCTATCAAGGACAGGCTACTTCTAGTGGAAATGGCAGATTCTTGCAGTGTTTGCAAGTAAGATGACTAGTTCTGGTATTTATAACTTATCTACGTTAATATCGCAGTTTAAGTAATATGAGTTATGTTTCAATATATTATAATTCAGTTATAAGCAACTTTTAAGTTGCTATTTAAAAATAGCTTATTAAATGTCTCTAATATTATCTATAAATCACTCGGTMAATACCTCTGTTAGCGACACCTTGCTCTCTCGTAAGTTGTCATCCAGGCTTTCATATATCGGTTCTTTACGTGATGAGTCCTTGGTRTTTTCAACCAGCGGTTGGTAGAAATGGGATTTGAAGCTAGAGGWCTGATGACCATTTGGTATAAGTGACTGGTCTGGACCACGTTCATAGGTTGGGTTACCTGTGGTAACAGCAATGTTCCATAAGAATAGCATACTTCTAAGATTCTAAGAAATTTCCTTTATAGACGTGTWGTTTTCTGTCTAAAGTGTTAATCAATTTACGCATCGAATAAATTAACCACACATTGTATCATCATGTTGGCTGAATGAGGAGAACACGTAAGTTGATATAGCGTGCTATATAACTCGATAAAACACGCACATGTGTAATATATATGAAATGAACAGGTGATTTARGACAAGACAAGTACTCACTGGTGTGGTTTCCTCCTGAAATATTCAACCTAAAAAATTAAAAGCAAAATATTTGATAAAATACAAAAAGGCCGATTTAGACGGTACAACTTTTGCCTATACAACTATCGAATGCAATATGCTTAAGCTATCACTACGACATGGCTACAACTGTCATAGGATTAAAAACAATTGTTTTTGATCTCTACGACAGTTGTAGCTATTTTGTAATGATGACTTTACAGGCATACGTACTCTACAGAAATATACAGCACACAATCTAAGAAAATAGCTAAAAGCTCTATACATTTCTTGTACTCGATTTTCAACGAGAGTATGCAAATTTCTGAAACCAATAGATATCATATCGGTTCGGAATTTCTGGCAGTGGAAAACGTTGAACACTGCTGAATGTTGAAGATAGTGTATTCCAAAATTGCAAGGCATTGTTGGTCATTCTATCGCTGTTTATAGGACGTTTCCGTTGAGTCACTACACTAGCTCCGTACATAAAGAACTTCAGCTACCTTAGAATTTCCATTTTATAAAACAGCCGATGACGCAGACTAACGATGCACTACAGTCTTAGAAAACACTATGCGACACTATGTCGCTATCGATTTATTGAATTAAAAGAATCGTTATAACTTACTTTTGCTTGCGTCTAAATACAAAGATGATGATAATAGCAGCCGCGATGACCAGGAAGAGAAGTGAGCCAAGTACAGCAGCGACTATTACCAATAACATATCGACTTTACCAGGAACACGTACCACATTTAGCTTGGACCGGTACTCTGTCCAGATTGTCATGGTAGTGGGTGTTGTGAATGTAGTCGGGGGATTGGTTGGCTTTGGTGCTTTGAATGTGTTATAAAATACTGGAGGCCATGGACCTGAAAATACAACACCATCCTCTATATTACATCACATAGTACAACTCTACACTTTATATACAACAACATCATCTATCTCACATCACATAGTACAACTCTACATCATATATACACAACAAAACCCTATATTACATCACACAGTACAGCTCTACACCTTATATACAACATCATCATCTATCTTACATCACACAGTACAATAATTTTCTCGATGCAAATCATGTTTATAAACAGGCTTTTTGAAAACATCGATTTCAAATGCATCGATGTTGATCTTCATTTCGGTTCACCATATCATCTTATTTGGACTCAATTGAGCGACAGCAGGCGTTAGAAGAATTCCTATGATTGCTACATCACGCATCCAATCCCATAATGCTTTTCTATACTAATGACGTCATTATTTTTTCAACAAAACATGTATGGCTGATATTTCATAAAAAACTTGGGAGGACGAAATTAAAGCTATACGGTTTATTGCAAGAATGAGAACTATGATGGTTGAACACCAGAGCCGGAATACTAAAAGACCTTTTTAATACATATGATGATTAATTTAATAGATTAATGGTTGCCTGCAAATAATACAGACCGAACACAATGAAAGGAAAGTCCATCGATTATTAACATATCTTACTTACTGGTATGTGAGCCTGCAATCTTGAAGTACAGTTTTGATTCAATATCGACATTCTCGCGTCCAAATCGAGATAAAATATATACGACACATTTTACACCTATGGACACAATGGAGGCTTGCATTGACGTCATACTAGTCCCAGTCCACTAAAAAAAAACAAGCAAAYAACGTCAGTCAGTCAGTCCTGGTCAGACATTATAGTATGCAGTTCCTCTAAACTGGGAAACTAATGGGAAATATACATGAACAAAGAAAAAAATCTATGTACATATAAAAGTCCGGCGTTTGGGATCATTATTGATAAGTATTTTCTTACTTTAAACACCAGCTTTTTCTTGCTGACTTGGAAACTATTCTTGAAATCGATGGGTAAATCGTTCTGCCCGTTCAATGTGTCTATGGCACTGTGGTTATCTGGTAGAAGTGCGCATGATTCCACGCCAGCTGGTATAAACTCTGCGCCACTTGAACAAATCAAGAATGTTCTATTTCCAGRAATATTGAGGTCGAGTGTYTGCAGTATTCTTGAACTATTCTCACACGGTGTACGAGTCGAGGTGCCAAACAACAGTTGGTAGGGATCTGATAGAATGACATTAATAAATTACAATTTAATTTTAATTTAATATAGTCTTGGATGCTCCGACGCTCTGATTGGGAAGGAGTTGGAWTAGATAATAGTCGATCTATGCAAAGAACAAACAAGAAGCTTCGTGATCGTGTACGTTTTCCCTGTCTTTCTTTTGTTTTTGTTTTTTTGCTTGCATTGAAATACACTGATTACACAACACTATACTACACTATAAACATATTACAACATTACACACATTACACTGACTCTTTCTAACTGTCGAAACGCACTCAAAGCGGAAAACATTTTAAAATCTTTTTTCAATTTGTACAATTTACATCAAATAATACAATTTCAAAGACATTTTGCTCGTCGTACATAGGAGAAGCAGATCCAGAGTTTATCGAGGACATGAATTTCTTTGCTTCGCAAAAATACCAATGTACTATAAGGGAACAAGATACCGGGAACAAAGCAGTTTACAGTTTGCTGCTTAACTCACTGCTAGTGTTTTCTTGCGATGGTAGTTAGTAAATCGATGCGACAACTCTGTTTCGATTTTAGTTATGCATTCTAATGTTCGATTCTAAACTCTAGGCACATTTTTTTCTTTCTGGAAATTGTTTACCTCCTCTATACGGTTCGTTTTTTCGTTAACAATATTTGTGGCTTTACATCTATAGCTGTGTTTATGCTGTGTACGAATATATTAATGACCCATTGGCACAGATATATAGCTTTGTTAATGTCGTCTATCGCTGACTCACCTATGTGTGTGTCTATCAATCTATGGCACCAGCAACGATCGTTGATTTTTCGTATTATTAAAATAGAATCATTATGGAGTTGATCCCCCAAGTAGGTGGATCGAAAAAACAAATTATTTCCATTCATTCATTGAGAAATACTAAAGACGTTTTCCTTTAGAAAATGATGGGTTTCTTTCAAAGGATATTGTAATTTTTACTGCCTCAAACCATCTGAGTTATATTWGCGATCTATGGACGTTGAAAAGGGATTATTCAAATGACCAGTATAAACAAAAAAATGAAAAACTCCGCAAAATATAATCCTTGCAACGTTTTATTTTGATCATGAGTTCTTATGTAAACCATGTTAGATTTATGGYCTTTAAATAGTTAAAATTAAGCTTTTAATCTATACAACTGTCTAAATTTCATTTCTATTCARTGTTTTTTCATTGAACCGGACCAGACGTCCATGTTAGTTTTACAAATTACGAACCGCATACTTCAAACGAAAACTCATCAACAACAAGATTAATTCATGCGAAATGAACCAAAGGCATGTCAAAATCAGTTCTCTTTTAAAGTATGTATGTGGCAAGTGAAAGTGTAGGTGGTRTCTAGAGGAAATGAAATGCTGACTTCATGTTTATCTCGGCTTTATCTGGGYGACTACGAGCAAACAAAAAGACACGAAACAAAATAACCTTTCCGTCAACTAAAGCGAGGAATATCTAGTTGCAATACACTGAGGTTTCTTTACTACAATAAAATAGAAACGTATAGAAAAAATGTTTAGAAGAAAGGGAAAATAAAGAGAGAAGATCTTAGATTCAATGAGAAAGAACGCACGCACTCAAATGAGGCACACACTAAAGGCACTAAATTCAGGCGAACAACTACTAACACGAAAGCAGTGAAAATTTAAAGAAAAAAAAAACACAAAAARGGAGAAAAAAGGTTATGAAGTAGGCAAAACAAAGAAGAAAGACATATTATGTTTAAATAACTGCGTAAAATAMATTATGAGCCTTGAAATCACTGAGGTCGCGGTCTTTTCACATTTTGTACATCAACTACGAAAAAAACCGCTTATTGTGCATTGATATAAACCATACTTTATCACTTGATATATCTAAACTGGAAACTTTCATTTCTGGGWGCGCAGCGTYATTCAATWCATCGAACGTTTCAATGGGTCGATGTACTGTGCACTTTGATCGTTAGCATGCAAACTAAGTGCAAAAAATGAAAGAAAACAGAAAATGTGAAAAAGCAGCTTYACGAAAAAGATAACAAATCTGACAGGTAGTTTCTGTGGTCTCAGAGTAATTTYAGTACGCTTATAGTAGAATGCTGTTAGTTTATCAAAAGCGTATACGATGTTTCTGCTAATAGGCTGGATTTAGTTGAATTGACAAAACCCTAAACCACCGATCAAAGCTATCATATCGTGAAAACCACACAATTATACCGCCATTTCATGCTCAATTCACGCGGTCTTCAAACCATCCCTTAGCAATTACATGTATTTCAAGCTTTCTCTAAAGTCTTAAATAAATTAGAAACTTGGTTTTAATSGTGAGTCTTTTTAGTGACCCCGAGAGAACGGATACAAGGGGCGTGAGAAGAYAGCTTCTTTTTATTGCTCATGACACTCGTGGCATAGCTGACTTTCCTGTTGTTTTCCTCTGGTTTTTGAATACAAAACCCTTTGATTTACTTTAATTCACGAGTTTGTGAGTCCTTTTAATCTGGGTTTGAGAAGTGTTATGATTTAATAACTCTTTTCTTACACACAAAMCTAAAGCGCTCAAAGGCTTTCCATGGCTTCTTTGTTGGTCTTTGTTCGTTGCGAATCATATTTCGTGTTGTATTATTGATATGTGGCGACAGTGAGGAAATTAAAGCTAACTAAGTTGGCATTTGAGTAGCTTACATATACATGAYGATGATCCAAGCTTACCTCGAGACTGTGCCATAATGCTGATATCTTCTATACACTTTCGTTTCTGTACAAGAAAAGAAGTCCTGTTTCTCTCGCACATACATCKCTTACAACAAGACATCTTGCAGTTACTTTTAACTTCAGTTGCTCCGTAACTCTGGCAAACATTGGGAATAATATTAAACGAACACTCTTTTGTGTCTTTGTCGTTCCAAATATCAAAATAATCTGAAGAAACAAGGCTTCTTGTGACCGTCATGTTTGTGTTTTGCCATGAGATGTTGCTGCTGCTGTTTATCACGTTTAGCAGGGCCAGGAATAGAGCAGCCACTATTTCTGCTTTATTCAATGTTTTGTTTCTTGTGTAAACCATGTTGAAATGCATTAAACTGCTTGAATATAACTAAACATCACAAGCGGTTCGACTAGTGAATTGCAAACTGCTCGATTCGCCACACGACAATCGGGCTATCAAGTTACATGTCTAAGAAGGCAACAACGTCAGGAATGGTTGATATATGATCCACTACACAGGAAACTAGACACATGGCTCAAGCCTGTTACTAATTTTATTGATGTGAGGATAAATAAATATAGTAAATAAACAAATGATATGATTGGACTGAGATGACTGGGTCGTTCAACATTGTCAACCCTCGATAAAGCTTATTCTATGATCTTGTTAACAAACCTGACGAGCTTATTCGCCCTTTTCAGACAAGAAAGTTGATCTGAGTTTGCGTTCAAAAACTTTTTCTGSYTAGAAAAAGTCAATCAATTAAAAGTATTTCAAAAGTTGAATTCAAAGCTTTTGTTAACGAAACTGGTGTTGTTGACTTAAGGTTTTCTTGTTAATCAAGAAAATGAATTCTTTATAAAACGCTGTCGACGATCCCAGAACTGATTGACTTTGAAAAGATTCAATGCGAAAAGAGAGCAAGTCACTATCACTGTTCCAAAAGAAAAGCCCACTTTATTTTTTTTTTTCGTTCTTTAGGTATTCGTCATCAGTTCTCTGGGAGGYAAGGAGGTCCGATTGTTGACCTTAGGTTGACCGATGTGTGACCGATTTACATAAAAACGCTTTGATTCTATGAACATTCAGACAAAAAAGGATTGACTTCCTAAAACATCTGTTGAAATACAAAACTTTTAAAAGTTGGTCTTCTTAGAAAACAGYACTGAACAAAGGAAGCGAAATAAATCTTACACTCGTTTTCTTTAGTTTTAGATATATACACGCTGTAGATTATTCTAGTGGGTTCGCGCCAAACGGTTTGTTTTGTGACGTGTTTAGACTTTCGGGACGTCACGTTTATGAAGGATGATGTCATCTCTACCCAGGCTCCTGCCAATTGACAACAGGTAGCCCAAAGATAGTTTACGCTGTTTCAGTGGAGTGAATAGTGAATGAGTAAAGGTTGGGCCTGTAGCGCTTTACTGTGAGCGTTTAAGACAGTACAACTGGTCAGCAATCCTGGATGGTGTACTAAATGTGTCGAAACTTATTTTTAAACTCATTTTAAAATTCTATGTTTAGTTTTTCGTTTATTTTTACTTTAGACCCTTCTTAAAACAATATAAAATTTTATTGACAGCACATTTTGTTAAAAGAAATTGCTGAAGCCGTATAGATGCTTTTGAAGTTCCACAATCTGTGAGCGTTTTTTGGACTGGTTGCAGATAAACTGATGCTGATATTTACAATGAACTTTCCAACTGATTTGTAGGGTTTACAGCAGCCGTCGASCGCGATCCGCATCCAAGTAGCCGTTTGATGGCCTTTCTAAACGAACGCAAGTGTGAACACATCAAGGAAGGGTGTGAAGCTGAGTTGATCAGAATAAGCAGTAATGWGATCTTATCTATTAAAGGGATATACTCGATGTCTGGAAAAATGGAACTGACAAGGTTTAACATGCTGTTTGGGATTCGACAAACTGCGTGGAAACATGCGATGATCACAAGCATTTTTGTTACTCGTTTACGCATTTTAACACGTGCGTTTTGCGTTGTATCTGCYGCGATGTTTTGGTTTTTCTTCCATAGTGAGATAATGATMAGTGTGTTAAGCGTACACATTGCAACTACAGAACTGATCCCAAGTACAAAATTAATGCACACATTTGCTCTTTCGTCGAACCAACTCGGCCARTCTTCAAGGCAAATAYCCTTRTCATSATCGTAAGAAAGCGATAGTATTGTTGGTAACTTAGCAACTGTACTAACGATCCAACACAAAGGCACAATCCATCGTAGTTTTCTTACTGTWACTCTGTCTCTGATATTATGGGGCATCACAACAGCGATATACCTCTCAACGGCGATGGCTATTAGCGTGAAACCCTCAGCTGTAGTACCAACCCCAATCAAAGACCCACCAGTAATGAACTTACACATATAGCATCCAGAAGCCGAGTGTTCCTGGTGACCAATAGCGTCAAAGAAGACGTGACGTGGCAGAACAAACAGCGAGATAATRACGTCACTTACTGCTAGATTAAGAAGGAGATAGTTCATAGGTGTACGTAACCATGGTGTCCTGTAAATGGCTGCTATTATTAATACATTGCACACGATTCCTATYATCGAAAAGATGCCAAACAGGACTGTTAACGTGAGGCCATACTCCATTTCTTTACAAGATAAMTTGGTCGATTTCTATAAAACAATGATCAATAATATTGAAATTTCTCTCTGCATAAATCTCTACCCCTCCTTCTATAATACGCAGTGACATACGTAACGCCACACGTTTCCATAAGAATCCCAGCACCATGTCAAACTATGGACTACTATAACAAATTTTCTTGTTGTCAATTGAACTGGTACAAGTACAAGATACAGATATATTGAAAAGTAAAAAACACACAAAACAGGTTAATCTACTTTCAAAGTTTTTCTGTGGAGCTGCCACAGGTATACAGTCCTCCCATCCTGTGTTTTAACATCGGMAAAGTAGTGGGGTTGCTGTCAATGTAAACTGCTGTTAGTATAAATTCAGTCAAGAAATCGTTGGACATTACTTCTCTCCTCTTTGTTAATGAAAGTATCTGCATGTAGATAGCTAGTTTGTTGGTTCCATCTTTTTACACTTAATATAAAAAGAAATTACTATAATATCTTTCGCGTAAATCAAAAAATAAAGTTGATAAGAAAGGATACCATCAAATAATTGACTTAAGATAATTTTCAATCTCGATTTTAGTATATATATTCATACCTTTTTATCGGATTTGCAGGGTGGAGAGATGGTGTTCATTAACGTTTGTGTTTGATTTGCACGGTAAATAATTGCCCGTTTAGTTTGTAAAGCATTAACGCCATCGTGGGAGCTGCACACCTTAGGCTACAGGTAGCCTAATTATATCGATAAAACTAATTGGTAGTTCTTTAAGTTCTTTTATTGCTCAAACTATGTTCAGTGTTTAATGAATTTGAAGCCAATTAAAATAAAACAATAAAAAACAGGCAAAAAGTGTGGACCGACATTACCGCTCTCCATGCATTAAACTAAAAGTTTAGGACTGCATTCATGGCCATGAAGCAAATGTGATATTCCTCTACTGCATATATTTGTCCAAAGGAAAGAAACAACTTATGATTAACTTTTTTTAACGTACTGAATAAATGAATTCAATAGGAGCACTTGACAACAGATTGGTGTCTTATCCATGGTCTCCTATTATAATCAATTAAATTAATTAACGATTTTTAGATACATACATATTAAAGCGGAACACTTCGTTAAATAAACTGGTTAAACTATTTTCTTTTTCTCTTGAAACAAAAATATGGTCAAATATTAATTTGTTTAATGTTAGAAAACATGTTCCCGATTATTGCCTTAAGATTTTTCGCATTATGATGCAAGTTAAAATTGYATATAGTTTTGTTGATATTTTCACGAGGTTACCATAGCAATGCAGTCATTTGTGAACTTGTTTTGGAGTTTAGTCAGGGCCCCGGGTGAATGCTGGAGAATCGAGAGATTTCAGACATTAAAACACAAAGCTTGTGAAGACGGCGTGAAATATTTAGATATCTTGATAGAAATACTATTTGTTTTCACTGAGGAAATGAGGAAATATATAATCGTTTTTTGTAACACATGGGYATAGTAATTCATATTCAGTATGGTGAATGTTAGACTGCAATTGAACTATATGTACAAAGTATTGGAGTTTCCAATGAAGTTTTCTTCACTGAATATTAACATTTAGTGTGGAATCAATGTTTACCAGTATTCAATATATTTGTTTGTTACATACCTGTCGACTGCACTTTTTATTCTTTCTCCATCTTTAATGATTGCTTTTCGATAATCTAGAGACTCAATGTTTCAGTCCTTGGTTTTTCGTGAGTGGTACTTTTAAACTATGTGTCTCACTAGCTACTGTCATTTTCATGTTTTGCTGGCCTTTAAGTGTTCATACATATTTGATGAGTAATATAATTATGACCAGACATAATTGATATGAGCATCTAAATGATGTACTGCAGCAGGTGTGTAAGGCCGTTCACAAGACAAACAACAAACCAAAATCATTCATGGTTTTATATAAAAGGCAAGAAAATAACACTAAAAAGTGGATAAAAAAGAAATCAAAATCTTAATTGTAGAAAAAAAAGATGATTAGATTTCAGTGGCACAATCAAAAACAAAACAGATTAGAGCAGAGTAACATGGTTGTCACGTGACATTGGTATAGCCTTTACACTATTGATTCGTTGATAYGAGGTCATTTTCAGAACATTTTCCTTTTTCAGAACACTTGCTAACCTGAGTATCACTGCTGGGCCTCTTTTTCTCGATAGACCCGATAATCTGGTTAACTTGCTACTCGTATCCGGCGAAAGCTAGGCTGGGCTAACAACGCGTGCATATTTAGGCAGGCTGTAGCCATAGGCGAACGCTCGCTCGTTCTTCATGTTCTTCAATCACTATATCTAGAGGGTCTCAATGGGGTGGTACGCATCACGACTCACGGCTAAACATTTGGCGATTTCACGACTCACGACTAATTTTTTCGAATCACGGTTAACTAGATTACTTTTAGAAATTTTTGAATTACGTTTTTCATTGCTTTTTCTTTTTTCGTATGAATAGACTGCGTGACTTATTCGTACGGACCTGATGGATTTTTCTATTTCAAATAAGCCGAAATGCGACTATCCACGAAAAATGATTAATCAAAAATGATTAATCATAAATCCATAATACACAAAAAAAATCGTCGCTTTTCGCGATGATGTATTATACGCCGGGCTAAATGTGCATGGTAAAATCATAAAGTTTGTAGCGTATTCATATTATTATTTGACTTTAAACAAAGTTATAGTATTTTAAAATCGATATCTTATATAATTACTTTAAAATGTCAGATATATACCATGTCCGTACGAATAGCAAACATAACTCGGACACTCTGTTTAAAATTTGATTCTCGGTTTGCGCAATCGCCGCGCCCAATGAAAGCGCGCTTTAAAATATCACATTATAGAAAATATATAGAAGTAATTACTAAATGATTCTGCAGATTTTGTAATTAAACATTAATGCATAGGAAGCTAATTCTAGACAACAACAACAACAAAAAAAGAAATATGAACAAAGAAAAAACTTGAGTATTGGGATTCGAACCCATGACCATAAAATCGAAAAAAGATTGGGACGATTCCCCCGAGACATTCTGTGAAGCTGAGGCGGCGAATCGATTTACATTCCGGTTAGAGATTTCGGCTCTTCCATGCTATCCCGATAATTGGTCCTAACTTCGCGCTAACTAAAAAGCCAGTGAGGGAGAAGCTATCCGGCCCCTAGACACTGATGGATAACCCCTTGCACTAACTAGGCAACTATCGAAATTATAATGTCAAATTGGGGTAGTCTATTCGGTGAAAGTGTCAAGTGGTCTATTATTATGTAAATGAAGTGATCCAGTGGCGCACCGTGTTAAGACGCCGCTTGCAAATCCAATGTACGTTTGACGGTAGCGGGATCGATTCCCTGGAGGAGACGTTTAATGATTTTGTTTTTTTCCTTTTTATTTTATTTATTGTTTATCTTTTTATTTATTTATTTATTTTTGCATAATTATTGTCATCTCTTGTGCTTCACTTTCCCGAGAACCGTCTTTTTTTACGAAGTGGATATATGATCGGCTCCCGCTCAAAGTCTTCGATGTACTAACATACTAAATGAGTGCTAGTTTTGTTTTGGCAAAAAAAATCTTTTATATCTTTATTAGCAATCTAAAAAGAGATGTCGATTCATGTTATAACGTTCTATTTCGAGCAGCTT